TTAGATCATCACACCCGGTTGCCCTGAACTCATCCTTAGCGTGGGTCAGCTAAGGGCTCTGCAGATGTGTGAAGCGAAACTAATTGCCCAGTTTTACTGATGCCTTTGGGGAGATGAGATGGCAAAAGACACAAAGAAATAATTTTGAAAAATTTAAGACAGTGTTCTCATTCTGATTGCTTTGACTGAACAAAAATAATTTCCTTGTATGTTTTTAAAAGTGCTGAAATCAGGCAGTAAGTAGTTTTCTAAAAAGTAAACCAGCAGCGCCCTCTACTGGCTGTTTTTCTGCAGCTGTGTGAGATCTAAAATAGGGCAAAGGAGCAAAGCTGGGTTGAAGAGACCCAGGAGAAGGTCCAAGGGGAGACTGTATGCCGCGGAAAATTATTGATATTCACATCCTAAAGGTTAACTGAGAAATCTTAGTCATTTATAAATGTTCAGGTAAGTACTCTAAGACATAGGAAAACCAGGCCCTTACAATAGAAAATATATACCGAAAATGGGGAACAACGTATTTTTAATAGAATACAAATGTCTACTGATTATACCACTGTTTTTATAAATAAACATATTCAAATATTAAACAAAATTTTACCCTTTAGAGGAAACTGTTCAAATAAACACATAGTGATATTTCTGAAATTCACATAATTTAAGCCAGTTTTTCCACTCTTATCCAAGTTCTGCTTACATACTCCAGTTTCAAATTTAAGGCAAGGAAAAGCTCGCCAATCAAAGGCTTTTATTGGCAATGGAAAATAAAGTCCCAAAGCCCACAGTTAACAGACTTTATATGGGAAATATTTGATTTTGAGAAATGTTTTTATACTTGAGAAAGATAATTTTTAGTTAGAAACATTTCCATCTGTGGTTAGGTTCTTTTAAATAAATATTTTGAATACAGGGACCAGTATGACTTGTAAATGTTCTTTGTTAGGCAGTTCAGACACAATGTTCTAGCAGTGAGCATAGACTCGCAGAGACAAATCAGTTCTCAAGGCTGTGTGAGCCCACAGATTCTTAGAGGAGGGATAACTGGTTATTTACCCGAAGGCAAACCAACCTCCTTTCATTTCGGTGAGTTCACCTCTGTTTTCTGTTGTTGGACGCATACTAAGGAACAGACTCCCAAACATGGTTTCAGTTTCTGTGCCCGTGAGCTGGAATGGGGGACTCTTTTTGTTGACATGTCCCAACTTAAACAGAAGAAATATTCTAACCTAATTGAAAAGCACACAAATATTTTGACTTTGTTCACATATGGATTTACATTATATAAGTGTATATATACATATATATATGTATATATATATATATAGTGAAAAGGGAAATTTTCTGATCTTATTTTGACAGAGGAATTCTAATCTCTAAATTTACAGATCTTTTTTGACTACAATTTGCCAGAGTCTGGTAGGCACTAGGCACTCAGGAGAATTAATTGAGTATTTTGGAAGTTTCTCACACAGATCAACTTGTGTAAGTTTTACAGTCGTAAGGGACTAAGAGGATCATTTGGTCCATTCCACTCCATCAGGATGTGGCTCCTCTTAGTAGGCAATAAATTATTTCAAAAATTAGCTTTTTCAGAAGTGTACAGAAATGCAACACAAATACTCATTAATGATTTGCGGTTCATAAAATGCAAATTAAATAGAAAAATAGAAGCTTCAAAGATCTACCTAGGTTTAAATCCCAGCACTACATCTCTTTATAGCTGTGTGACTTTGTGCACGTCAATGAAACCTTCTGATCCTCTGGTGCCTTATCTGCACGTACTTTTCAGAGTTTTGTTGGAGATGTAAGATCTCTGGCACATCATGTTTAAGGAATGATAGTTTTTACTATATTTATTATTGTTATGTGTGTGTCGTCATGGCTGTCTTTGTGACTGTACAAAATCTTATGCTTTCTGAATTAGGAAGAGGTTAATTATCTAACATGGAAGGAAACGACAACACATGAAACGGTCATTCACTTGTCTCATTGAAGCTATAACTGAGCTCATTCATGTCAGGGTCAAACGGTGTATCAAAGAGTGTGGAGTAGAAAATAAAATGCTGGACGACTGAATCAAAAGGATCTCATTGTGATTAAAAAGCAAACATATGAATCACTTTAAAAGAAATGTACAGCCGATTTTATTGGCTCACTTTCCCTTTAGGACACGATCACCAGACTCTGGCTGCTCAAGCAAGGTGGCTGTAGGTGAGGGCTGCAAGATCACGTGCCACAGGCAGGCACAGCTGGTACCCAGAGGAGAGAATATAGAGAAGACCTTATAAGAAATTTAAGGAAAACATGAATTAATGCGAATGCCAATTCCTCACAGGCAGATTTCATTCTCAAAATGCATAGCAGTGAAGCCACTAATAAATTATTAGGTATCTTCATATTGAAATGCTTGTCCAACATTAACTAATTTGACCATATGATATTTTCAAAGGGATAATTATCATTCTCATCTTGCAGATGGGGAAATAAAGCAGGATGATCATCACATTTAAAAAGGAACATTATTTCATATTATGACTAATGCCATATTCAGTTGCCAATTTTATTAAAGGGTGAAAATATTCTGTCTGCATACAAAAATGACATGACTGACCCAGTATGGACACGGCGTGTGTTTTGAGTTTTCTTTTTTCATTATTTGCTCTCTCACTTAATCCACAACCCACAAAAAGGACTTCAAGTAGCTTATAAAAAGGACCAAAATACAAAAGGATAAAATAAATAACCAAGGAAGTTCTGATGAAGAGAAATAATAAAGAACTGAACAAGAACAGCAGCCTCATCGCATCCAACTGCTGGAAGTGGCTCAAAGCTTCCTGGTGGATTAAGGAAATGAAAACATGACTCATGGCAGACGTAAGATAAAATGTGCTTTCGTGTGTGTGTGTGTGTGTGTGTGTGTGTGTGTGTGTGTGTTTTCCAGGAGTGGCAGATAGCTGCTTCTGTTGGGCCTCTTACCTGGTGTTTCCTGTAACCTATCAACCCAGTGCCTACCTGCGCTAATGTATATTGTTTTGGCCATGAAATAGGTCAAAGCTAAAATGCTGGCAAGTGGATCAAATGTACAATTCTGCTCAAGAGCAGAGCTTCTTGATTCTTTACATGTACGGGCTCTTCACTAATGGTTTAGAATGTGTTGTGAGCTACTGATCTCCTCAGCCCAGGGTGAAGATGAGGGTATCTCCTCAATGTGCCCCAATGTGCCACACAAATATTGTCTTTTTGATGTAAAAAATACCAGGAAGCACATCTCTACACAACTAATGGACTAATAAACCATAGCTTTATTAGTGAATAGCCTCAAAATCAAGCTCATAACCCAAAAGATTGGCAAGGATACCATTTTCCTAATTCTCTGTGTCATCCATGCTCGGCATCCCCTGTAAAGCCCTTTTCTTTACTTGAATTCCCTCCTTTCAGGTTCTCACATCATAACCACCTTATTTGGAGGCAACAGTCAGCTTCTGGAATAAGGGTCAAGGTTCAAACTTATTTCAAGAGAACTCATACATAATATCCATCTATGAACCTGAAGATACAACTATATTAACATCTGTTTTTCCCACCCAGTGTAGAGCCATGAACTGGTCTCTGGCTCCTAAATAAAGATGCACATCAGGAAAGAACACTAGCTTGTCTTAAGTAAACAAACCAAAGGAAAAAGCCTACATAAAAATATTAATAGACTATCTTTGCCAATGGAGGTAGAGCATGAATCAAGGGAATTTCATCAGTTCTTTTTTTCCACCAACTTGCAAAAGTTGATTCTCATTTTGGGAACATGGGGGAGTAGCTATTTCCAAGGATGCATAAAACCAACCGATTGCCACAATGCTAACACACAGGAAGTTCAACTTAGCCTGCACCCCGCAGATCTCCTGCCCTTAGGATGATCCTCCCACTGTTTAGAGGTTGATCCAAAGGCAGAGGAAGGACAACAGCTGTGGGATGTTAACCTCTGATTGGGGTTAGTGCTAGTGAAGGTCTAGACAGACACAGGCTGTGTCTTCCTCCTCCTGCATCACACTGATCCAAAGAGATGGGCAAGACTGCATGCCTGGTTAGCACAGTTTCTTCTTCACGGCTAAGGGGCTGCTTAAGGGGGATTCTTCCGGTGGCCGGCTCTGCACATGATCAGACTCTTCAATAACAGGATTGGCCTCATTATTAATTATGCACCCTTTACAGCATTGCAAATCAAGGGGTGGGAAAGACCTGCTGTCTAACCCGAGCCACATTAGCTGTATGCCTTGAACAAGCAGCACTCAATGTCATCTGTAGAAAAATGTCCTTATGCTGTGGAACACAGAACAAACCAAAGTATTCCCTTCACTCCCAACTGTTTTTCCTCTTCTTTCTCAGCATCAGTGATTAGCACTAAATGATTAGCATTAAATGGGAAGTCTTAAAAATAGATTGGGTTGGGTTACATGTTCATAGATTTGGATGCTTGGGATTCATCCGAGAGATGAGGAGTAACCTTTAGAAACTCTGAACTTTTCATACAGACCTTTTGTAACTAATTGCAGCGGTCTTGAAATATTAGCCACGTGTGTGTGTTTGTAGACTTTAGTCATAAATATATTTCTAATTTCTCTGAATGATAGTATAGCTCCCTGTAGGGTAGAGGTTCTCAGGATGAAGTCCCCAGACCATGTTCCCAGATCAGCAGCAACTGGGAACTTGCTACACATGCAGATTCTCAGGCTTCACCCAGACCTGCTGGGTAGGAACATGTAAAGGGTGGGGGCGGGGGGGGGTCTGCAATCTGGTTATAGCAAAGGCAGTTCTGATATTGCTCACATTTGAGAACCACTGCTTCCTAGTGTTCTTTCCTATTTCCCTAGCTGGTTCTACCATTTTTCTGAAGTTAAGTTTGGGCCTCTCTAACCTTCACGAACCCTTTCCCAAAGAATCAGCCAGCTCTGGAGAGCACTGTTTGGTTTTATTACTCTCACCCTTGCTTCTCCTCTTCTCACTTCCAGTTGGCCATCCTTGATGCATGAAGGAATCATCCAAGTCCACACAGGCAGCACCTCCATCCTGCTCTCTGGAGACCCCGCACTGGCTCCACTCCATCCATTTGCCTTATTTTCAGACTCCGGATGCTTCTCTCTTCTTGACCTGATTTCTCTTTGCCAACATGAATTACCTCCTGGTTTCACATCACTTTGCTTTGGTCACTGACAAGTTCAAACCTCCAAACCTCTGAGCTTTCCCTGGCTTCAAGACCCCTGCTCTATCCCATTATTTGGCAATTGTGGAATTGGCCAGTCTTGCTTATTTGCTTGTTTTGTCCTGTGTTTAGCACCCATAATTCTAGTTGTTAGCTGAGTTCTAGCTGCACCCACACTTGGGTGATAGCACCTGTCCAGAACTCTTCCAAACCAACCCCCTGAGAGTCATGGCTCCAAAGCATGGTGTTAGCCAGCCCTTCTCATGTCCATTTTTAAAAGATTATAAATCTTTCATATTCATCATCATCCAAAGGAATAATGATGACAACAAATGTAGTGATGGTGAAGATGATGATGGCCATTATCATGACAGCAATTGTTTATTTCAGGCCAGTCATGTGCAGCAGTAGGTTACATGCATTACCTTATTTTGTTTTCAAAACAACCCTGTGAGAAGGTGCTGTTATTAAGTTTATTTTACAACAGAGAAATCTGGGTGCCTATCCATGTTATGTAACTAACCAGTGGCAGAGTTAGGATTGTACCCAGTCTCTAACCTATAAACAGTTGTAATTCGAGTATTGATCTCTAAACTTCCAAATGCCTTGACAAGGCATCTAAAGCTCAATATACCCTGATTTCCCACTATTCTTTTATGGGGTCACTCTATTTGCTCCAGCATGCCGGTTTCCAAATCCTTGCTAATATCGGACCCTCTGCCTGGGAGGCCCTTCTCTTCCCTTGAGCCTCTATCCGTTTTCATCCATGCCTCAGAGACCAGCTCAAGTTTTGCCACCTCCACAGATAAATGATCACCTTATGTGAGTCATACATGTGTGGATGAAGGGCTAGGGCTGCCAGATATTATCATAAGAAATATACAACATATGGTGCCTGGGCCCAGAAGTCCTGAATGCCATTTAATCTGGGTGGGAGTGGGAATAGATGTGGTAGTGGGAGAGTAGAAATCAATTTAGAAAGTCATGTATTTCAGGTATGATGCTACAATGGCTAGAGTTAGAATTTTAGCCTAAGGAGTGAAAAGAAAGGGACAGGAACCAAAAAAGTATAAAGAAAGAATTCACAGGCCTTGGGATAGACTAAGTATGGAATGGAAATGAAAGGAGGGAGAAGAATTCTGAAGTGAGTCCTCCTTTTTGATAGGTCAGAGTAATGAATGAAGCTTTCAAACCTATAGCATCCCTACTGGGATGACAGGGTAGAGAAAGGCCAGAAAAAGAGACCAAGGAAAGTCATGTAGTAACCCAACAGCACAGGGTCAGCCCTGCAACCAGTCTCCTGACCTGATTCCACTTCCAAAGTGCTCTTGACACCACAAGCGCAACCTAAATCTGCTCATTTGTTAAAGAGTCACTGGAACATATAGATACAAATTTTATTTAATGGGACTACTTCAGTGAGATAACCTGTGATTTTATCTGTCATGGCTGTATAGTAACACTAATCTCCCTTCTCTACCCATCTGTGCTTTCCATCCTCAATTAATCACTTAATTAATTAACATGCAGACACTTCTTCTGTGACAAGTGCAGAGGAATACAGAATTGAGTGTCTATTAAATGCAGAAGGGACATTGGTTAACAAAAGTGAAAGTATTCCTAGGGTAGACAGAATAAGAGCACCCCAGAGATGTCCATGTTCTAATCCCTGAATGTGTGAATATGCTGTTATATGACACAAGGGAAATGAAGTTGCAAATGAAATTAAGGTTGCTAATTAGCTAATTTAAGATACAGACAGTAGTCTGGATTACCAGGTGGGTAATCAAAGGAGGGGTCCTTTAAACGTGGAAGGGACAGTGTCAGAGTGAAGCGATAGGAGAAGAAAGACTTGACTGGCCATTCTGCCTTTGAAGATGGAAGAGAGCCACAAGCAAAGAAATGTGGTGCCTAATACCAGAAGGTGGATTCTTTCCTAGAGGCAGCAGAAATGATGCAATCTCTACCAACACCTTGAGTTTAGTTTAAGGAGGCTCAACCTGAGCTTTTGATCTCCAGAATGGTAAGATAATACATTTTTGATGTTTTAAGCTACTCAATTTGTATCATAACAGCTCCTCATGTCCTCATGGAACTCATAATCTCTTGGGGATGTGGCAGGGCATGAGGAGAGGGAAGAAACCAGTAAATCTACAACAAACATGTGGTTAGAAACCAAGACAAATGTCATGAGTGAACAGATCCAGGTGCTGTGAGAGAGATCTTTCCAACATCACCACACCAGGGCACAGGTACTTTCTGGGTGGGGTGGGGGGGTCAGATAAGGTGCAGGTAAGCAAAGGGAAACAAGATTCAGACAAGTCAAAGGGTTGGAAAGCCAAGGAATCTAGGCAGAAGCAGTGCTCAGATTGTAGTCCTTGGTTGGCCAATGCAAAGCACATGTCCAGAAGCTAAGAGGTCGTTCAGTATTCAACAGAGTGATCAGGGCTCTGCGGCCCTGGCAGGAAGGGGTCTGGATCCCAGGAGCCTGAGAGGAGCAGGAAGATGGTGCCTGGAGTTCATCTCACAGTGTCTTGGGCTCTTGTGCCCACAGAGACTGATTGTGATGTGTAGATATCCTGGAGCTGTGTTTGCACAGAGAATGAAATGCACTTCGTGGAGGATAAATAAGTCAGCTCTACCTTAGGCTGGCAGTACAAGAGAACAACACCTGGGATTACCTGTAAGGTTTTAAGATGCTTACTTAATTAACAAATTAGTATTTGTATTCCATCTGGAAAATGAGCTACATTCTGGAATTAGGAAAATGAAGTTAACAGAAGTTGAACGATATGGCAAGGGTAAGAAGGCGTGAAAACAAAGTAGTTCAATGCCTGAGGAAAAGTATACTTGCTGAAATACTGTCCAGGGTTCAGGGTTTTATCAGCTGAGCCAAAGGCAGCTGCAGTGCTGGCCTCCCTACCCTTGGAAAGTGAGTGAGGAGTTGTGATCATGTATAGATTCAGCCGGGGTCTTTTTCTGGTAAGGACCATTAGGAGAGGCTCAGAGAAACTGAGGTGGGCCTCCATTTTGGGAAATCACAATATTCCTCACTAGGAGAGGAGGGAAGCTAGGGTGTCAGCACACATTTCTTTATCCAACACTATTTATTGTGGCAGGGGGCAGGCAGTGTGCTGAGTGCTGCAAGACAGACGTCTGAATTCGTGCATTCAGGTGAATAATCCGATCAGGAATATAATCGTAGGTTATGATAAATGCTATACAAAAACAGGGTGATGTGTCTAAAAGTAGGGGTAGTGGATAGAGAAGGAGAGGGTGCCCTGTTGGATCAGGAGGACATGACTAAGGAGTTTGCCTGTGGACCGAAAGCCCCTGACTGTCCTGAGAGCTACAGAAAGGGTGGGTCAGGCTGCAAACAGCAAGGCGAAGTCTGTGAGTTGGGAAAGGATTCAATGCATCCTGAAGGAGCAGAGAAGAAACCAGTGATGAATAAAGATGGAGAGCAAGTCTCAGATCAGGTGATGCTGGCCTTGAAAGACAGACTAAAGAGTTTAGATTTTATGTCAAGGGCAACTAGAAGCCATGCAAGGGTTTTAGGTAAAAGAATGCTGTAATTTATCTATACTTCATAAAAATCTTTCCACGATCACCTCTTCCTTCTTCTGCCAGTTCCTGGTCTTTCTCCTTCCTCTCATTTATGCTTCAGGATCCAGATCCCTTTACGTTCTGGGAGAGCAGAGGGGAGTGAGCAGGCCAGTGTTGGCCACCTTGTGTCCCTGGCTCCAGCATAAAGAAGGCATACGGAAGATGCTCAATAAACATGCTACGTGGATAAGTGGAAAATGAATCTGAACATACCTCTGTCTTCCATGTAATCTGCAATAGCAAGGTTTGTACAGCCAAGGATGTGGTTAGAAAAAACTCATTTCTGCTAGAAAATACAACTTGGGTATTTTTAGTGCTCAACTTTCTTCCCAGCTCCTCCAGAGTTTTCAGCCGGGCTTACTTTGCTGTTTCAATACTGGACTCCTCTTCTCCTCCCCATGAACTTTTGTCCTGCCATTCTTTCCCTTTCATTCAGAACTGCTTTCAACCCAAGTCTGTCTTCACTATTTAATCATTCTTTACATCCTCCCTTTTCTTTCTCTTCCAGTAACAACCCCAGCCCAGACACTGTCTGGAGAGCAGTTCTCAGCTCTTTAATTTTCCCCCTTGCAGTCCCATAGACCTTCTCTCAACCTCTATTCCCTGTCTTGTAATGAAGTTTATGTCTTGTCTTGAAAGTAGTCTTTTGTTTTTTTGTGTTTTTGTTGTTTTGTTTTGTTTTTAGAGGTCGATATCACAGTTAACAAGGTACGTTTTACTACTGACACTTGATAGGCAGAAAAGTCTATCAAACACTTTCCACTGGGAGTGTCCTGTAGAAAGCCCTGCTCACTATGTATTTAAGGCTGGTGGGCTCTTTCTAAGCCAGATGCCAGGGAGAATCACATCCAGGAATCTAGGAATCCAGGAATCTAGGCTGCGTATGAATCCTCAAGGGCTGTGGATGGCCTCCTGCATCCGAGGAATGGGAGAAAACCCTTCACACATACCCCTCCCCACCAAAAAGAGGCCAGATTTCCAGGCTAAATTCTACAGATCAGCTAGAAAACTGCCAGGGTTGAAGAGCTATTCAACCGGTAACATATAACGACTTGGTGTCTTACTTCCTTTTGAAGGAACACCATGAGTCCTTTTCTATTGCTTTCTGACACAAAAGGCTGAATAATTTTCCCCAAAACTTTAAAAATTATCTCATTAATAATGCCTACCAATGTTTTAAAAATACTAGATATTTAAAGAGTATAATATATAGATGCTAAATCTATTTATAGATTCAGGTGCTGCTATTCAGATGCTAAATGCTTGCTTTTGGACTGAAATGTAGAAAAAATAACTCACTTGATAAACTAGAGTTATCCATGATACAGTTCCATAAACAAATATTTTTATTGTTTCATTAAACCATATACAAAAGTGTATATGT